TAACATTCAATATTTATCACTTTCTGCTCTCTTTTGATCACGTTTGGTCATTTTATATTGAAAAGTTTTGAATCACTGTGGGTATGCCCACAAAAAAAAAAACACTTAATCAACAGTTGGAGTAGAAAAATAGGTAAAACCAATAAAGCCGACGCCTCGTGTATTGCGCCTTGCCTCGACCTGTTTGAAGCGCAAGGCTGCGCCTCACGCTTAGGCGCACGCCTTTTAAAACATTGCCCCAGCTCTCAAGGCAAGGTAAACCTTAACTGTCGTGCAAACTCATCGGACTTCCAAGTCAGTTCAGGCTCACTTTTCACACCAAGAAATTGAGTTTCAACACGCAAAAGACGAAAGACAAGATTCGTCGAATCGAGGATATCAACACCCTTTAAAATCTCAAAATTTAAGAAATCTTAATAGAACATAAGTAGCTCTTCCAGATCTATGTAATCTAAAATTTTTCTTGATGTTTACCTTTTTGGTGACTAATTGCTTTCCCATCTCCAACCATTGATTCTTTATCGCTTGTGAGCGACCTATTTTGAAAACCGCTGGGTCCATTTTCCTCTGCATGCACAAAGATCAACTTCAACAATACATCTTTGGATAAGCTAACTGTTGATCATAAATAAATCTTCTAGGAGCATAAATCAAATTTCAATTAGAAAACCAAATAAATATTTAACAAAAAAGCTCATATCTACACTAGTCTCTCGGTTGCGTTTGTTTGCAAGCAATTGGAAGCAGATGTTTTTCAAACAAGTCAAATGAATGTTACAGTCAATGCAAGAATTTTCAACTCCCAAGGACTGCATTCTATATCAAACCAATGCAGCACTCCCTACATCCAAAGTATGAAAATTGAAAATAAAATGGAATTACAGAATAGCTCATGGTTGTTCCTACATGAAAAATCCCATTATTACTTCTTGTATTAGACTACAATTTCTAACTGCATGTAACCTAATATACAGATGCATAACCTGCAATTCTTCCGGTGAAATACCCTCTGGTGGTATGGCCAAGAAAACTTGTACTTCAGGTGATCCAGCAGCAACATATGTTCTTCCTTCCTCAGTAAGTACCCATCTCTCCCTCTTAATGTCCTGCACAATTAGCATGAAGCATATGTAATCTACAGAAATAATATCTACGATTATATGACGTGCAAGGTTCTGAAAAGCGGTTGCGGTCGCCGTAACGGTGGCAGTGGCCCGGTTGCGGTGGCGCTGTGTAAAGGCCTTAGCGTAACGGTTGCGGTAACCGGAGCCATGAATTTTTTTATTTTTCGCACAATTTGAAAAAAACTTACCGGTACATATTGATCAATTTTTGTAAATTTTTAAGTATGATCCAATATATTTCATATTTTTAAATCACTATAAACGGAGTTTTTTATATTTTATTTTAATAATTAATAACTTTATATTATACAAAAAATCAATCAATAACTATTATATATAAGATAAACAATGACAAAAGTAAGATAATAAACAAGAGCCTAAATTTATGTATATACATATTTTAACCAAGCCAATCTTACTGCTCTTTTGGAACTCCCTCCAACAACCCACGATGAAACCGTCGGCCATCGATGCTGCCTCCGGAGTCCTCGTCCATTTCCTCGTCATTGTTGGATCTGCAACATCAGGTAAGCAGGGAACCCTCCTCCCTTGTTATTTGGTTACAGCTGTTTCAAAACCACCATGCTCTTTGATATATCCATTAACAATGCTTTCTCATCCTTTGATAGCCTCCCCGCATATGAATGTCCCTTAAGGTGCTCCACAGGTGGATAGTTATGCAATCCGCATACTACGGTCAATGTCCATTCATCATGTGTGGTAAACCTGTGAGCCCTCATATCAAAAGGACAACCACACTTCTTCGTACTGATTATTCTTGATGTATTGTTGCCATCATGTTTTAACTTATTTGTTGCTCTATATTGGTCACTCCTCTCACAAGCAAGATACATCCTGGGTCTTTTTTTCCCTCCACCATAGTCTGATGTTTTGATTACAATGACCAAACCATTTCTCTTTCCAACTTCACGTACCCAGTTGAGCAATTCATCCTTACTTTTGAATACCTACAAAGTTAAATAAATATTATCAAACATTTACATTTGGTGAGCAATTCGAAACATAATCGTTATAATTTCGTAGACTGAACCTGTTCAGTTAGGAATTGAGTGGTGTAATCTAACACAAAATCCGCGCAAACCTGACTTCCTTGAGTTGACACATATTCTTACATGTTTTGTATAACATTACAAATTTTTAATGGCATTATAAAGATTAATTTGCAATTTGAAACTGTAAATTTGGTATGCAGTTTGCAAATTTGGAATATAAAATGGAAAAAAAATTTTTACTTCATTCGGAAGTAGTTGTCTGAATTTTTTTTAAAATTTCGGAAGTTGAATGTTGTAAAAGTTATCTTTGTTCGGACAACAACTTCCGAATTTAAATATGTTGTTCGGACAACAACTTCCGAAATTTATTACTTTTTTCGGACATCAACTTCCGAAAATACATAATTATTTCGGTAGTAGATTTCCGAACCAAATAACACAATTCGGCTCTGGTTATCCGAACGACGCTGGGAAGAAATTTTTTTTTTAACTCACATTTCCTTCGCTCTGCTTCACATGAACACTTATTTGCTGATTTTCAGAAGGCAAATCCTCCATAACAATGATGTTTTCCCTACGAATGACGAAGGCTGATGAACTTGGAAATGCCAAAGCCCTTTGGTTTCACTTCTACCTCAATGAACATCATATACATAAATTGATGGAAGAAGCTATGAATGAGCATCCACAAGCTACACACACACACGATGCAACAGATGTGAATTCACATCTGAGGTGTGCATTGAGATGTTTTCAATTAACAATGGTGTCTAAAATAGTAATTTCACTTAGGGATAAAATTGTAATAAAATTAAATATCATTAAATGTGTATATTGAGGGGATTAGGTGTGTGTATATAGAAGCTCCCATTTCTCACCAAATTATTTCGGGGGATTTGGTGATAGCCCCCTCACTATCTAATTTGTCTTTCAAAAGGACAAGAATTACAGAAGTACTTTTAAAACCCCATAATATTTTAAAACTTGTTTCTTTTACCATATTACCCTTATAAAAATTTACTTTGTATGAAAGTAAAATTTTACTCTGTATGAAAGTAAAATTTTACACTCTGAAACTAAAAGTAAAATTTTACTCTGTATAAAAGTAAAATTTTACTATGAAAAACTAGTAAAATGTTAGACTCTACACAAAAGTAAAATTTTACTCTGTATAAAAGTAAAATTTTACTATGAAAAACTAGTAAAATGTTAGACTCTACACAAAAGTAAAATTTTACTCTGTATAAAAGTAAAATTTTACTATGAAAAACTAGTAAAATGTTAGACTCTACACAAAAGTAAAATTTTACTCTGTATAAAAGTAAAATTTTACTATGAAAAACTAGTAAAATGTTAGACTCTACACAAAAGTAAAATTTTACTCTGTATAAAAGTAAAATTTTACTATGAAAAACTAGTAAAATGTTAGACTCTACACAAAAGTAAAATTTTACTCTGTATAAAAGTAAAATTTTACTATGAAAAACTAGTAAAATGTTAGACTCTACACAAAAGTAAAATTTTACTCTGTATAAAAGTAAAATTTTACTATGAAAAACTAGTAAAATGTTAGACTCTACACAAAAGTAAAATTTTACTCTGTATAAAAGTAAAATTTTACTATGAAAAACTAGTAAAATGTTAGACTCTACACAAAAGTAAACAACAATCACAAATCTCAATGAAAAGAATACATATGTTCAACAACACTCATACACACAAATATATATATATATATATATACATATATTCCCAAAATCTTGAATGAGGAATGTAACGGCTGCGAGATCTTCAGATTTGGAGATCGTCTTCATCGATTTTGTGAAGTATGATCGATTTGGAGATCGTCTTCATCGTCTTCATTGGCTACGAGCTCAAATTTCAATTTTTTCATACGTACGATACTATATATATAAGGGCAATATTGTGATAAAAAAAAATAGAAATTATAAAATGTTCTTATTAAGGTAAGCATTTCTTACTCAGGGACTTTTTGAAAGAAAATTAATTAGATTATCCTTTACCTTAATAAAAAGGCCCAAAAGGAGGGTTCCACCAAAAAATCCCAATTATTTCACAAAGTGCACCAATAAAAAATATCTACTAAAACCAATTCTTTATAGAAAAATGTTTGGGGGTCCTAATTCTGTGGCTCAAATGGCCAAAACGACGTCGTTTTGGCCATTTTGATGTTGTTTTGTACTCAAAACGACGTCGTTTTGGCTATTTGAGCCACATTTGAGCCACAAAATTTGGGCCCTCTACCATTGCTCTTCTTTATACCCTTCTTATATTAGATTTATCACAAATTTTTTCAATTTTAATTTGGTTATAATTTTTTTTTTAATAATAATTATCAAAAAATATATATATGAACTCACCTTCCTCCCGGTGAATCAAATAGCGTCGGAGGCCTTGTATCAGGTGAGATACAATAATAAAGTAAACAATAAGTAGATTGAATTAATACTGAGATAGTTCATTCAAGCCCAAGTTGAGCGCTGATTCGAAGTCTCAACAAGAAGTTGTATTGCTTGACGATCGTCGTCTCCTCCCAGGTCTCCCTGCTCTCTCTGTCTACATGTATTATATTGATAATATATATATATACATATTATAGGTTGCCTTTAATTCTTTGTTTCATAGTTCTGTTAACTATTTAGCGTTGAGTTGTTCGAATGTATGTAATGTGCTTTGTGAATTGGTATAAGTTTTCTCGATTATGTAGATTACTATTAAATCTTTTCATTGATGGGTTCTGTTTTCTGTAGTGACTTTTTAATTTTTTTTGGTTTGTTCCCAAACCACCCCTAAGTTTTAGAGAAGACAAGAAAAACCCCATTTTAGTTTATTCCCATTTTATTGTTTGCTCTTAATTTAAAGAAAATTTTCAGATCAGTGTAAAACTTGAAAAATATTTACAAATTAGTGATAAATTTTATCAATATTAATAATTAAAATTAAATTTTTTTTTTCATGTATATGTAATAATTTTAGAAAAATTAACATTGAGGGGTAATTTCGCCTTAGTTTAATGCAATGAAGATAATGGCATGATAATAATGCGAATTGACTATTTATCTTATCCTTTTTCAGTTTGTCCAGTGGTCCATATTATCAAACATAAGATGAAATAAAGTATAGATATTGAGAAAGTAACACCAAAATTTTTATGGAGCACTCTGACATGAAATTGTTTTAATCTAAAGTAGGAATAAGCATTTTTTAATCAAATTAAAAGACTTTTTTTGAGTAATGCAATAAGATGGGATGTAACTACAGCTGTTATGATAGTATGGTACCACATTTTTTTAATTTTACAATTAATACTTTGTAATTAGGTACATTAACCTTCATTTTTGGTAATTTGTTGGAGCTATTAAGGAGTCTAAAGCCATTATTGACTTTGGTAGGGATAATTTTATTGTATGAATGATTTACGCCATTAGGGACATTTTAAACTAGTAGCTTGTAATTCTAATTCACCTAGATGACATAACCTTTAATATCCACACAAACGTGTATCTTTCGTCGTACCTATGTTAGTTAGACGAGGCCGGAAGAGTCAACCTTGATTTATCTTTAATTTATTTGATTTAGGTTTGGATTTAGGAGCTAATTATGTAATGTTGATTAGTTTGTGAATTATTATCGTATTTGGGACCTTGTTGGTTGGCCTTTAAATTCCAAGCTTATTGATATTGTGATTAATATTGAGACTAGAGAAGTTGATATTGTTTATTTTCCTTTATTTTATCTTTTCCATTTGCTTGTTCCAATCTTGCCTACGATTCAACATCATTATGTTTTCTGGATTTCCTACCACTTTTTCCCCATATGAACCATGGAAGTGTGCCAAATTGCACTGATGCCTTGTAAGTCTTTGAGTGTTAGTGATTTTCTTGGAAGCAACTCTCAATTTGGATTTGCAAATTCTTGAAGAAACCAAATTCTTAATTTTTCTAATTTATGGATTTTTTTCCCCCCTCAAAATATTTGAATGAA